AAAAAAGAAATTACAACCATTTACAAAATATTTATGAAACTAATGCAATTAGTTGCACACTGTTTTGGGCTCTGGTCCCGCATCAAAATAGGCACAACTCAATGCGTGTTGCAAGTATGTTGATGTGCATCTTCGGCCATCGTCAAGTACTTCGTCCATTTTGGGATACAGATACTTATTTTCAGACAAGTTCAATAAATTATACATAATCTCATATGCATTGAAATAATGAGTCATCATCATTTGTTATTGTTAGATAATGAGAAATAGGAATAAGAATTAATTAATATAATTTATAGAAATCAAATGTGTCAAACGAACACAAGGAAGCATTTTTTTGACCAAATCTCATAATTCATAAAAACAAAATTTGTCATAACATAGATCTCGAAAATCTATGTGAAATAAAATTCAGATAACTAGGTCAAAAATTATGTCTTTCCAAAGTTTTAGAATATCACATACATAATTTGATTTTTCTTTGCAAGACATATCCATATACTGGCAACACAAAACCAACATAAAAAACTAACATTGTAAACCCAAAAGCTTAAGTTGTTGGGTGAGAGCCTTTTTAATGATTTATATTATTTTCTAACACGCCCTCTTACAAGAGAGCCATTGGGCTTGAAAGATGGATGATGCATCAGGTTCAGTCTATCTCTGCTAAAAATTCTACAAAGAAAATGGGAGGCAACGAGAATCGAACCCAGAACACCGAGGCTCTGATACCATGTAAATAATCAATTCAACTCAAAAGCTTAACTGTTGAGTGAGGGCCTCTTTAATGGTTTATATTATTCTCCAAAAAACATTATTATTCCATGCATTGTTTCTATTTCACTTATTTCTCAAGTGACAAGAAGATCATGCTCTAAAGATAATTCACCTTAGTTTGCGAGTTGCGGATGATAAGGATGTGAAGATGGTAAAGGGTAGTTGAATTGAACGACATGGATTGCACCAATTGACATCATCCCATGAGTTGCGTAGCATTTTGGGCGTAATAAAACATAAGATACACATTAGAATAGGCATAATAGGCACTGAGTTGCGCTTATAATGCATAGAATCAGGCGCAACTGAATGCCTATTATGCTCATGCTAATGTGCAACTAGTCGTGCCCAAAACAATGCATAATTGGTTGCATTAATTTTGTAGATACTTTATAAATCACTTTAATTTCATACTTTTTTTAAATATAATATTTTAATTTTTCCCCCTAAATGTTCTCATATTAAAAGTTCATATGATTTAATTATGTTTTTGTCTTTCAAGTAGAGTTCAATTAAAATTTATCAAAAAAATAAACATAAAAATTAGTGATCTGAAATTTTAACTTCTACCTCCTTTTATTTTTGAGTTTATGTTTTCATTATATGAAATGACATTTTTTTTAAGTTTTTTTCATTGTTCTAAAAAATGTATGACCAAACCGCACTAAGCGCATATTTGGTGTATAATATATGATAAGATCTGATAGTATAATGTCTGATTGCATAATATTTGGTTAATTTGTAATACTATCCAATTTTTGGCATGATATTATATAAGATAATGTATTATATAAAATAATATTATCCAATGTTTGATAATGCACTGTATAATAATAGATAGAATAAAATATCATTATAAAAATTTTATATAATTTTTTCAAATATGTCATATGATATTCATGTTAATACATTAACCTTTATCAGGCCTAAGGCCTAATCTCACCTCTTTATGTTAGATTAAGTTATTCATTATTTTAATATATTAAAGAATTTTGTTATATAACTTTATATTATACGATGGTCAATAATTATACACATCAAATAATTAAAAATATCATAATATGTGATATAAACTTACACCATCATACATTATACGTCACATCAAAGAAGTCACTGCGTAACTAATCAAATATGTTAGTGGACCGATTTCTTAACTGGTTGATCGAAGACAAGTTCAGTTCGAGTTTTTAACACTGACATACATTCTCATGGAGTCATGGATACTAGGGGTGTTCATAAACCGATCCAAACCGATTCAAACCGCAAAAACCGAACCGAAAAACCAAAAACCGAAAAACCGAAAACCGAAAAAAACCGCAAATATTTACTGGATTGGATCGGTTTTCGGTTTGGATGTTGAAAACTGATCCAATCCAAACCGATCCAAACTTATTTTCTACCAAATTTTTTTTTTGTTAATGTAGTATTCATGCTAATGATCTATGTATGGATAAGAAGAATCCAGTTTTATGTTTTAAGTTTACTATGTTATGGAATTTCTGGATTACTTTCGTTAATCTAGTATACATGGTTAAGTTTTTTGTAGAAGCTGTGTTTTGGCCACTGTTCATAGTGGCCACTTTTGCAGCCCTTATAATTTATAAGTAGTAAAACAGTGATTTCTGTAAAAGAATTCATTACTTTTTTTATTAGAACATCGATCAATAATTTTTTTTATTAGTGATTTTGGAAGACTTATTACTACGGTATTGTCAAAATTTTCTGCTACTACCAATACAAAGGATCCATGACAAATAATACTACTCATTTTTCTAAAAATAATTCTTATAAGTTCTGTTTTTTTGACTTTTCAAAAAACCGAAAACTGATCCAATTCAAACCGAAAAAAATTGGATCGGATTTGAAAAAAAATTCAAACCGATCGGATGATGTAATGACCAAACCGAAGGAATTGGATCAGATGGTTTTTTGCTTCAAAACCGATCCAATCCAGACCGCGAACACCCCTAATGGATACGACATCAAGATTCCCACTGATCAAAGCAAGCGTATTGGTTGATTCTAGGGCTGTAAATAGATTAAGTGCGGTTTGGATGAACTTTTATTCTTAAAAAAGTTACTTTTTTTTTTTAAATAAAAGTTCTTTTAAGAATTTTTAGATGTTTGGATAATAAATTTTTTAAAAAGTAAAATTTAAAATAAAAGTTAAAATGCTGCTTTTTTTTATAGCCAGTAGTTGATTGCTTTTGAAAAAAGTAGAAATTAAAATATAATATAATTTTTTTATAGAAAAAAGGCAATATAAATTTTTAAAATACAATTTTAACCTTATCTTATCGTACCTATTTTATCTCTTCTTATCTCATGATCATGCTATTTTATCTCTCCGTTATTATAATTTTATATATAAAAGTGCTTTTTTTTATTTTAATATCCAAAAACCTTTTTTTATGTAAAAGTGATTTTCAAATTATACATCCAAACGTAAAATAACTTTACCTTTAAAAAAAGTTATTTTAAAAAAAGTAATACATAAAAAGTCATTTTTTTTAAAGCTCATCCAAACGAACCCTAAGTTAGGTTAAATTTTGGCTTAAATATGTCAGGTTTGTGTAAAAAAATTTGGTATGGCCTCACTTATTAGCCTGTGTATGCCCAAACTATAAATCTGACCTGACCTATATTTAAAAATTAAAAACCTTGGCCTAGGCCTTTTAGCCCGTTTAAGCCTGTTAAACATTCAACAATTAAAAGAATAACTAAAATAATATTATTTTATTATTTGAAATTATTAAAATAATAATTATATTTATTATATTTTAAATAAATAATGTGATATAAGCTGGCCTGTAGGCTTATAGGCCCGACATATACAAAAAAAGCGTATAACCTATCTTCTAAACAGGTTTTCTTAAAAGTCTAAGTCTATTTTATTTTACTATTTATAATATGTCAAGTCTGGTCTAATATAGGTTAGGTCGTAGATTTTTGTAGATCGGCCTAACCCAATTACACCCTTAGTTGATTCGATGCTCATTGTGAGTTTTGACATAGATATACACAAATTGAAGTATAATACATTAAAATCATTTTCCTTTATTATTATTGTTATTATAATTTTTTTTTATCATTTTTAATTATCTTTTTCAGATTAACTTTTTGAATATTTCTACAAACTTCATTTCTTTATTATTGTAAATTTAATATATATATATATATATATATATATATATATATATATATATATAATTTGGGAAAAACATTTCTCAAGCTGCTTGAGATAAATTTATCTCCGATCACCTCAAAACTACGTCGTTTTGATTATTTATTTCCTTATATGTATTGATTCACCTTTGAATGGTTATGATTCTCCTTTTCTCTCTCTTCCTTTATCACCATTGATCCATCTTTGTACGGTTATGATTTAGTAGCAGGAGATAACTTTCCGGCAGCTTGAGAAATGATAAGCCCATATAATTTTATTTAATTTTGTTATTTTTAGCATATATATATATATTGATTTAAAACTGAATAAATCGAGACTTCAAATATATTAATAGTTAAGAAAAAAAAAATCAATGTCCTTTTGTTGAAAATAAAATAAAATCTAAATGGTTAACATTGTTATCATCAGCAACGACAAAAGATTAAATTCAAAATCATTTATATCAATGAATCTTCCTTAATAATTTTTGGAGGTGACCTAATTTTTAGTGGTAGTTCTGACAATGATAAATATTATGAGTAAATATGTTTTTTTGGTTCTTGACAAAGTTCACGATGTCTGTTTTGGTTCCTAAGAAAAAAAAAGGCTATTCGTGGTATTTAAAAATTCAAAATAGACCCATTTAGTTGAAATCGTCATCCCTCACAAATTTAAAAAAGATCTATATTAGTCCTTCAAAAGAACTAAAATGAGTTTATTTTAAATTTCTTAGGGACCACGAATAGCCTTTTTATTTACTAGGAATTAAAGCGGACATCGTAAAATTTGCTGAGAACCGAAAATGATATTTATTCTAAATATTTCTGCTTCCAACACATAACAATTATAACTTTAAATGTTTTTCAGGTAAATAAATTATAAATTCATTTAAGAAAAGAGAGAAAATATAAATTTTTTGTATTATTTTAATATAAATTTATTTAAAATTATTAATAACAACATTCGTAAAAGGACCAAAAATAAATAAAAAAACCATAAAAACACGAAATAAAAAAGAAGGCAAAACAAAATTTGGACGTAAGAAATGGATATGGTGGCAGAGTCCGACCCTGGAACCAGTCACAAAAATAAAGTCCACAAAGGTTGCGAATATGGTGGATACTTGGTTGGGTCCCACGTTCTGTAACACTCTTCCTCTCACCTTTACCGGCCCTACCAGAATCCTCTCTTCTTCTTTTTCTTCTCCCATGGCGTCCTTTCCATCACAGCATCGCCATCATTGTCACTGTTACTCAAATGCTAACCCTACTCATCCCCAGCCTGCATTGCTCGTTTTTTCTGGAGGAACTGCCTTCAACGGCGTCGTAGAAGAGCTTAAGAACTTCACCACCCGTGTCGCTCATGTTCTCCCTGTTTCTGATGATGGTGGAAGTACAGCCGAGATTGTTCGCGTCCTCGGTATTACTCAGTAGTTAATTAATTGTGCTTCTACATTTGGGGATTTTGGTACACTCACCGAATCGAAATTTGGGGATGAAGAAAGGCTTGATTTTTAGGGATTTTGATTGATTGGGTACGTACGTACGTTGCAGGTGGTCCTGCTGTTGGAGACATACGCTCGAGGTGTCTGAGGTTGTCTGATCAAAGTACCGCTGAGGCTCTTGCGGTTCGAAATTTGCTTGGTCATCGTTTACCACTTGATCCATTGCAAGCTAAAGCAGAATGGTAACATGTTCTAACTTATTGTTTCCCAATGCCTAATACTTCTGTTTCAATTACGGATAGTTTGGTCCATTTTTCTTATTCCTTGTTTTAAAGGTTGCTGCATTGTGTGTGTGTAAAGAGAACTTATTTTATAAAGGTCCTTATGTATTATTTTTATCTACATCACTTTTTTTTTAACTTTAACTTCACCCCTGATGACATGTATAGGTACTCTATTGTGGAAGGTGATCACTTTTTATGGAAAGGTGTGTCAAAACCCTACAGGGAGACTATTCGAGCTTTTCTGGTTTATTTCCAGAACCAGGTGACTTCTACAAGCAAACTGAGGCTATTTCTGATTATTTCTTGGTTGCCTGATCTGTTTTTATATACGCTTACATATTTTTTTCTTTCTAATCCTGGGCTTAAATATCAATTGCAAAATATTTCTTATGTGACTGTTATAAATGCTGGTTTCCTTTCTTTATTTTAAAATTATTTGTTTTTGAGATGGGGGTGTTGCTTCTTTGAGTGGAGCTTAGTATTTTACTGCATATCAAGCTAACAGTCAATTTTTTTTTGGTTGGAATTAGTAATGCTATAAGGATATTTGATCCTCAAAGTTCAAAGTAATTTATTATTTTTCATCCTTTATATATTTATTGTTGAATAGCATTTTCTTATCCAGTTTTTGGTTAAACTATTATTATGATCATCACAATAATCATTATGATAGTTGTTTTTGATCAAGCTTTTTCATTCTTTTATGCTTTTTTGCTTTCTTTTTGGTCTTTATACAGATCCTCCGCCGGTCTGAAGAATCATTTTGTTTCAGCAATGGCAGGTCCTTTATTTTTAATTTAGCAAGATGCTTTCCCTGGTTAATATTTTCTTGTGCCATAGTTTTTTCTCCACCTCTATAAGCTTGCTTTTATTGGTTATATTCGTCATTCTATAATGACAAAAGTGGCATCCCATTACATTGCAGAAGTGGATCAGACATAATGGCCTTAAACCGTTGTGTGTTTTCTTTCTGCTTTAAGTGGAGAGGATCTAAATTTCTATATTTTGGAATGCAGCAATTGCCAGTGGGTTTTGTGAATGCCATGTTCATATTTCTAGCCCGTGGCAAGAGTCCTCATACAATAGTGATTGGTTCAGAAGAATTTTAGGTTTATTGTAATGCAAAATTTGTTGGAGAAAACTCAAATAAAATAGATATGCTTCTATGCTTTTTCTGGTTGTTTTGTATTTTTCCTTTGCCTGCTTCTTGATAGATTTCTTATAATTCAAGTATGTCATGTCCAATGGCTAGCATATGTTTGGTTTTATGAGTTTAGTTCTAATTAAGAGGTAAGTAAAACCATAGTAGTTAATTGCGCCGCAATAGCGCTGCGAGCCGCGCCATATGGGCGTTGCTGTGCCTCACCGCAAGAAATCGCGCCGCGCCGTATCGGAACGCAATAGCGGCCATTGCGATCTCATTTGCGGCCATATTGCTCTCATAAGGCAAAATGTCAATTTTGTCCTAAGTTTAAATGTGTAACATAAAAAATTTAAGGGTTTTTTAGCCTATCCGCGACTCTCTCTGTCAATTCTGCTATCTCTGCCTTTAAAAAATGTTTCTTTTTGTCATTATTTCTGTCATATCTATTCCGCTATTTCTGCAACCGCAACCCGCTATAACGCTATAGCATTTTTCAGGGTTGGCCGCGACATGCCGCAATCCGCATTTGATAACTATGAGTAAAACACTTTATTTAACTTGTTGGTATTTCAACATCTTGGAAATTAAAAAGAACAATATAATCTATTTGGCTTTCCGTTTTCTAGGATTAGGACTTTCAGTTAAAAAAACAAAAAGTAGATGAATAAAATGCCTAATACCTAATTCTTATAGGGTACAATGGCAGTCCACAATCGTACCTGGTTAAATACCTTGATTTCCTGAACTGAAATAAATTATATGCTAGAGACATTATAACTGGTTAGATTGCTTACTTCTTTCTGTGCCATAATTTCCTCTTTCTTTTGTTGTGTGATCCTAACTTTAGTTTGAAGGCTTGCATCCTTGCAGGCTTTCGAAGAGGATAATTCTCTTCTGAAGATATGCCAATAAAACTTAATTGACATCTTCCAAAATGGAAGAAAATAACTTCATCTTCAGAAAAGTTAAAAACAATAAGAAAGAGCGTTGGCTATGGGTTTAACTACATTCTAGATTCTGCCTCTAAAGAATGAAAAATAATTGCTTGTCACGAGATTGCCGGTGTTGTGGTTTTGTTCTTCAAATTGTAGTCTTTTGTGTATGCAACTTCTGTTTTACTTTAGTGATAAGTTAGTGTTTGCAAAACTGGTTCTATGTCCAGATTAAACCAAATTAAATATATAATAATATTTCCTACTAACTGACTTTTGGTGTGCAGCATTAGAAGATCTTAACTGACTTTTATAATCTATGCAGCATTGGGAATTTCTTTTTTGCAGGAGCACGTATATTTTTTCAGTCCTTGGATTCTGCAATATTTTTGTTTTCACGGGTTTCAGATATTCCCCCTGAAAGCCTGGTTCTCCCTGTGATTTCAACCAACGACAGGCTTACATTAGGGTGTGAATTATGGGTATGTTATACATCTATATAACCGTGTACTTATCTTATGGTTTCATAAAGGGTAAATGCTATTCTGAGGGAAAATTCATTTTTTCCTGTTAAAAGAACTTGTTATAGAAATTCACAAAAATGATTGACCTGTTATTTTAATAGTTGTCGCATAATTTAACATTATGGTCTAATATCCATATAGGATGGAACTGTTATACGGGGACAAAATGAAATTTCTCATCCAACCAGTGGAACTATGGAACTTATTAAGAAGGTATATCAGTGTATGTGCTATGACATTATGCCTACTCCCTACAGTATTTTGTTTAAATTTCTGCTGATCTGAAAGGAAATTGCCTGAGATAAACTTGTGTATATTTTTGGGACTCTTACTGAATGAAAATGAGCACTCTGTTCTTCAAGGGGATCCAACAGTCAGAATAATGATATTTTGTAGGATAGTAATGATGTGGAGTGTATGCTGATTTGCTTGCATGCTGTTCGGTGTTAATTGAGTGATATGCACAACATAGTTGTTAGTATCGCACGATACAAAATACAATTCATCTGATACGATATGATACAAAAGTTGAGCGATACGAATCAGTTGCCTGTATCGGAATTGGTCTTGTATCGAATCGTGTATTATTGTATCGTACAATTTTTTTTGAATCGTGTATCGTATTACAATTTACGATTCGAAAATCAAATCAAGATTTGCGATTTTCAATTAAAAAAAATCTGAAAAGTCACCAATAATTAGGGAAAGGAAACAGAGATGTGATTTGTGATTCAAATCCAAAAATGAATCCAAAAAGTCATTATTAATTAGGTAAACAATCAGACAAACATTCAAATTAATACAAATCTCTCAATCTTAAAAAAAAAAACTTACACAGAGACTTGTGCACAAGAAAACAAAGTTTGTTAGAGAAGTTTTCAAAGAGCTATAATACATACAAAGAGAGAGAAGTTGGAGGCTTAGAATACGATTTGTGTGATATTACATATTTTGAAATATTTTTTATCATATTTGTGAATCTTACGAAGAGGGTGAGTCTGAAGCAGTGGTAAAGCTGTTCCTTTGTGACTAAAAATCACGTGTTTGAATCTGGAAAATTGCCTCTTTTCAATTATGCAAGGGTGAGATTACGTACAAGGATTGCCCTCATCCCGCCCTCGTTAGTCGGGATTTGATAGGGAGCGATTTTTTTTTTTGTGAATCTTATTATTTGATACGATTCACGATACAAAAAATAGCGTAACGATACACAATACGCATTGCGATTCAACAACCTTGATACACAATAGTATTTGTTGGTTTAAATTTGGAAAAGAGATTTTCAAAGTTAGTTTATTCCTTTGATTTTGTCTTTTCTTTTATAGGTTTTGGTGAAGAATATTACCTTGCAAACTAATGATGGATATTGATTTTAAATTGAAATGTAGAAATTGTTTTCTCATTACATTCACTGATTACATAATATTGATTGCTGTGTCTATCTAGTGAAAGTCAAAGTCTCTGTAATTTTTTCGTTCACTTGATTGAGATTTTACACTCTGCTACTGGTTCTGGCATTCGTATCTCGTATTTCTCTTTTATTGAAACTTTATAATTTCACGGGTAGGAAAGCTTTTCAGCACCAGCACTTCCTTCAAAAATAAAACGGGTGTTCTACATGTCGAGTGAGGGAAAAAATTTGCTCCATGAGGTAAGTGCTGTGTCTTGTTGGACCTACTTGTTTCACATTTTATGGAAGGAATTTTGCCATATGGCTCTCACATCAGTGTTATGTATTGCTATTAACAATAGCTGAAAAGATACAGCATTACCCTTCTATCTATATCTTAGATTTAGAGTTTATTATCTGTGGTATATCTTACTCACGTTGCTTTATGTACAAAATTCTGGAATTTTGGACTACTACTCGGTGTTATACTAGGAAATCCATAATTATTCCATGGGAAATGTCTTGATCAACTGTAAACACTGCAATCCCAGCAAAGTTTTGACCTCTTCCCTTAAATAAGTAAAAATTTAGACGCTTTATTCAACCCAATGAGTAGTATAATAAATATTTTAGAGTGGATTCTTTCTGCAAATACAGAGAGATTGTTGAGCTTTACAAACTTGATTTGTTTTTGTTTTGTCGGATCTTTTCTTTAGGAGGACATCTTAAACCTTATTTCTGAGCTTCTTTCTTTCTCTTTTCTAATGAATCTTTTTCTTATAAAGCAATGATATCATGTGATTAGAATGGATCTACTTGATAGTCCTTTAATATATCAATATGTAATAAGCTGTAAGGAGCTTTAGCATCTATTGAAATAATTAAGGTTGATATCAGCTTGAGGAGAAAGTATATAAACATTTGAGGAGAAAGTATATAAACATTGTATTTGGGGTTTTGATATATTGGCTAGTGTCTATATGGACTATTTGCTCCTTGCATTTCATATATTCGTGCATATGCAATCTAACTTCCCTTGTTTGTTCTGTACTAGAATTATTATTTTTGTACTAAAACAAGCCTCTATTTTTTGGTGTACTTGAGGTTCAATTTGAACTGGGGGTGGATGAAACACTTATTACCAAGTGGATTACTTCCTGGCCAATGGCCTGATGGCTTATAGCATGGAGCTAAATACAACTATTTCTGCACCGTAGTACTAGAACACAACATGTTATATTTTCAATTCTGTGTGAGTGGGTGCTATTTTGCTTGTTTCTTCTGTTATGGAAATATTAATACTTGAAGCTTTTAAATTGTTTATCTTACTCTAGCAAATCTAAATAAGAATTTGGCCTTTGAGTTCCTAATTTATAAATATTTTATGACTGGAACTCCTTTTTCTCTTCTTTGAATAGGTCTTTCCCTCAGCTAACATGGCTGTATTAGAGCAGTTAAAAAATGTGGACTGCATTGTTTATGGCATGGGCTCCCTTTTTACTTCAATCTGCCCCTCGTTGGTAAGATTCTTACAATTAGTACTGTTGATTTTTGCTGTCACGTATGGTAGTGTTAGCATTTCCAATTAACAACATTGATTATTATATATATTTGAAAACCATGGTATTTGAAACATTTGAGCTGATGTAGTTTATATGATTGGCCTTCTCTTCCTTGGATATTGTGAATGCATTGAGATTGTGTATCTGAAAAAATTTATTGTTCAACTCGTACAGTATTTTATTGAGGCAACTTTTACTAGATTAATATGTAACTTTGTTGGAACAACATCTAGCTTTCATTCTTTATGTTATTTTGGTTCTCCCATTAGATGTTTACCGACTTACAAATTATTCTAGGTATTACTTGGAATTGGGGAGATTATTTCTTCAAGGTCCTGCCTCAAGGTATTTCCTTGTCATGTTTGCATTCACATTTTCTTTTGCTATTTGTAGAAAGTGTGATGGACCTTCTATCCTGTGATATTAGAGGAATCTAGACTTGACAAGATTGCTTGCTTAATTTACATTGAATCTTGGATCCTCCCTTGGAAGAAATAAGGTTTCAAGGTTGTCCAGGCTTAGCTTGACCGCACATTGAGGCAAAATGGGTCACAAGCCAATGGCTCTTGATATGAACTCAAATCTTGGGTCCCATAAGCCTTTTTGTTGAAATCTGAGATATTCTGAATATCATTTACTTGAATTTTCATATACAAATGTTTACCATATGCAGACTAACGTGAATTTTTTTTTTTCCAATAAAGAGCTGATTCCAGGGAAAGTGATGGATCCCAAAAATAGAATTGACGGTATTAATAAAAAGTACAATTAAATTGCAGAAAAGTAATAATAAACATAGAAAGAACAAGAGGAAAAACTCCACTCCAAGACAGCAACCGAGCCTGGAGAGCTTCCCTATTTCCTCTCCTAATTCCCCATCCTAATTTCCGAATTACAAATAACAATGAGCATAAAGAAACCTCACCCTAAACATCTATATATAACTAATTCCCAACTAATGGGCTTGGATACTTTATTAAAGGCCCATCAATACTTCCCTTTCAAAATTCACCTTGTCCTCAAGGTGAAGTAAGAGACTAGGATTACACCTGGATCTCATTGCTTAAAGCATATAGACCAAGTTATGATTGAAGTAAAAAGTTTGCCACTGCTGAATTCCTTTGCTCCCTTCCTCGATATCTTACTCCATGTTTTACAAGCAATGGCCTGTTGATCATCATCGTTCTCTGCATGTTCACCATTTAAAAAGACATATGCGCCCCTTGAATTATCTAAGGGCTGCTTGGCAGCAACTTGCTCATTTAGGAACTCACCATTTAAAAATTCACCAGCCCCTGCATAAGTATGATAACCACATGCGTCGTTAACGGAGAAAAGTGCGTCACACCTAGAACAAAGGTTCCTCCTCCTCTTCTCTTCCATCTCGTTCGGCGTAAGTCGCTGGCATCTTGTTTCCCACCACTCGCCGCTGTACATCGCTTCTGTGGCGTCTCCATGTGAAGACTGGGTCACTGTGTTGGTGTTTTGTGTGTTGCTGCCCTGCAGATTGCTAATTGGGTCTTGGGTTTGTCCGTGAAGCCCACCTGCTTGCAATTGCATTCCAGAGGTATTAGGCCCGCTTTGGTTCACGAGGCCCAACATGTGTTCTCCCATTTGGCCCATTATTTGATTTACCTCCAGTTGCTAGCGTCAGATTAATGGATTGGGTTGTAAGGGCAGCTCGATAATAATGGCCCACTCCTCCTCTACTAGACCCTAGCCCATTTCGACCCAAACCCATACCCATGTTCTCTGAAACGATCTCCCTTTCATCTAACTTCAGCACCAGAGACATCCTTTCTGTAACGCTCATTGTTGGCAGCAAACAGACCTCCCCTAGTATTCATGCTTTCGACTTATTCAAGAATGCAGCCTTCAACACCTCTTCGTCTCGCTTTCCTTCGTCGTCTTCTTTATCCCCTTCTTTCTCTTTGATTTCTTCTTCTTTATCTTCTTTTTCTCCAATTTCTTCTGCATCTTCATTTATGTTTTGATTTGCTTCTCCTTTTTCGTTTCCTGCGTGTCCTGCTGTTTTCCTTTTCTTTCTTTTCCTCCTAAGTTTCCTTCTTTTTCTTCTTTTCCTACTGCTGCTTTTTCTTTTCTTTTTTTCTTCGATTTTTTTAAAACTGTCTGACTTCTCTAATGCCTCATCTATAATTTTCGCCATTTTCATCAACATTTCCCTAAGCTCGAAATCTCTGATTCCTCCCATGGTTTTTGTTAGAGATATATAAAATCATTAATGTAGCCTTACCCAATAGTTTAAGCTTTTGGGTTGAATTGGTTCTTTACATAGTATCAGAGCTAAGTGTTATGGGTTCAATCTCACCACCCCCCATTTATTAATAATTAATTATGTCTTGTGGAGTTTCTTAGCACAGGTAGGCTGGGTCTAATGCATAGTCCTCCCTTCGAGCCCGATGAGCTCTCATGTGAGGGGACATGTTAAAGATATATAAAACCATTAATGTAGCCTCACTCAACATCTTAAGTTTTTGGATTGAATTGGTTCATTACAGTTTTCATTTACCAGAAGCACCTCCGAATTGAAGATGCTCTGGTACCAAATTGATGGATCCCAAATAGAATTAATGGTATTAATGAAAAATACAATTGCAGAAAAGTAATAACAAACATAGAAAGAACAAGAGGGAAAACTCCACTCCAAGACAACAACCTAGCCTTGAAAGCTTCCCTATTTCCTCTCCTAATTCCCGAATCACAAATAACAATGAGCATAGAGAAACCCCACCCTAAACATCTATATATAACTAATTCTTAACTATTGGGCTTGGATACTTTAGAAAGGCCCATCAGAAACAAATAAGAAGTAAATCAGACCTATAATTTGTTGCATATCTTTTTAAATATGTCGTACCATAATCTATCTAATGAAAGGGAAAAACGAAATTATAATATTTACACAATTATTCATTCTATATTGAAAACATCCTTGCTTTCTGATGCTGTTGTAATTTTGTTAAGTATCAGAACCGAGAACAGCAAGAAACAACTGAGACTGTATTGCTATAGTTGAATCCAAACCAGACTCAACTATCTAAATTCATGAAGTTTTGTAGAAAGGAAAAATTACAGAATTAACATGGAAGAAAATTACAGGGAAAAGTAAAAACAGAAACTATGCCAGAGCAATTAGAGAGGCTTTGGTCCTCTCCCAAGGTTCCAAGCCCAAAGTTCCAGTTACAATAGAGTCCCCTCCCAATGATGTTTCCCCTACTATTTGTTACCAGCCCCTGTCCATTGCAAGAAACGTGACTCTAGGCAACAAATTCCCCCCTAACCAATCGAAGCTGATTCAGCATTACTGGTACTTGGCTTAACCGTAACAGATTTAAACCTTAAAACTTCATCCATCTAATGGTGTGAATGTAATCACCAAGTCACATGCCTTGGAACTTGTGAAGCACACGTTTCTGGATACACAAAGCTTCTTGTTATTAAATGGAAATTAATTAATGCTTTCTTGCATAGTATTTGCTGAGCTCTTCTATGCGTGATATTCAGACCATAGTAACTGTAATTTTGGTTGTGTAATTTTGGATTAGATTTGGAGACCTCAAACATTGAAAGCTAACTACATTTTTAGCTTGATTTTTACTAATTTGACTGAAAAAAATGATAGGTACTTATGTTAAATGGAACGCAAGACCGAGAGACTAATGGGTTTTTGGCTTCTTGTTTTGTAACTGCCATTACGGATGCCCTAAATCGAACATATGGAGATCAGAGCAATCGCTTGCAGAGTGTTGTGAGAATTCCTTCCCTATTGAAACTACTTGGTTCCAAACAGAAGACTTTATATTGATTCTGTTTCTAGATAAAGCATTTGATTCGCATGACTCTCTAAAGAATGCCAATATTATAGTTTGAATGCACACTTCTTATCCTGTTGTAATTCATAAACTGTTAATAAAATATAAAAATAATTGATTGAGCTATTTGGACAATTTAACTCTCTAAAAGTAATTTATGTGCTGTTTATATTTAATGCAGCCAAGTCAGTATATCAATGCGCTTTTGGTGCCAAGAAACAGTGAAATTCCAGTTGATGTGGACTGTTTGGCTGCCCAAGGAATATTTGATGTGGTATGTGTCCCAAATCTGTTCGTTATGCAAAGTATTGAGTGGAAAGAATCTATGCCGTTTAGCATGATGAAGATATATTCCAATTTGTTCTCGTTGAAATTTCCTGTGGATAATTTCATGAATATTGCTGGCATTTTGTCTAAGAATTAATTTTTGATTTACTGTCAACGTAAAACTTGTTTAAACCGTGATTCAATCATGTGTTACCATATTGTTGTTATAATATCTAAATAAACTCTTTTAATGATGTGACAACACATTATTAGACTATTAATATTAAAATAAAAATAAAAAATTACATTGACAGTCGATCGAAATTAAACTGTTTAAAGGTATAATTCTGATGACCTGAGTCATTGGAGTGACATTGTAAAATTGGCTTGCTGAAAAGTAAGACTTCATGTTGTAGTTTATATGCTCATGTGCATGAGAAATTGTAGTAGTATATGAAAGCCTTAATGGCATCCTTGATACTGTTGCTGAATGATTATTTAACGCTGGGTCATATTTATGATGGATCTGTGTATTCTTATGTTGGTACAGGATTCATGGTCATTCTATAGTGCAATTTACTGTATTTGTGAATTGTGATCATCCTACAATTCTTATCTTTTGCAGATAGTCGTTGACTCCCTACGTGATCCTAAAGTGGGTATAATATATGACCCGAAGTCGCTGATAAAAGCTCTTGCTGACTTAATAAACAGATACATGAAGTTGCAGATCAATGGCTTAATTGATACCAAATGATCAGATTTGACTTCTGAATCCTACTTTTGCAGTCAAAGTTCTTCACAAGGTGCAAGGTATGAAATTGTTTTTCTTATTCAACAGCAACTTTTTCCACGCCTGTAATCCCATTTTCGTACTAAAAACAAATTAGGAATTCTAGGTGAATTGGCCTATTATGCGAAATCATATATGGGAACTTCAGTTTTTTCCAAAACGTTCCAGTTTATCCCTTGCCATCAAAATACAGAGACCGGTGATGACGCTCAAAAGTTCTCCGAATGACATAATATTTTTGTGATAAATACTAGGGGAAGATTATCTAAATTGACGATAAACAAAGACATGTGAGGTTGTTATTGTATTATTATTAAGAATATTGAGAACAAAACAATCTCTAGTTAGTGTTGTGTTTTTATATCTCGTAATTAAATTTTGCTGTTGCATTACTATCATGCATAGAGCTTCGGTTTGTTTAGAATTCTCTTTCTTTCATTTCTTTTTGAGTATGTTTTATGCTAATTTTCTTTTACATAAGCTCCTATGTGGGGGGTAAGAAACAAAGGATTGAAGTATGATTCTGAGTTACAAACAAGGATCTTCTTAAGACAAGTGCTTTTCATTTGCATGTAGAAATAAGTTTTGAAGTTCTGAATTTGGCTAGTGTGTCTGCTTTGGCCAAATGTGTATTAGACATGGTGATGAAGATCTTAGGCTGGAGGGAATAAGTACCTCTAATTACAAAACCAGAACATAATTCGAACTTATCAAAATGTATTCTATATGCAGGCAAAAATATGCAACGTCCAGACTTTCAATTCTGGAAATTAGGAATCTATATCCTTCCACCATACGCTAAACTCCTATGACTATGGAAACACTTCGATCTTTAATTTTAACGATATCAGCATTACTTTTATCTCAAACTTGATATTTACTTTGATGCGAAATAAAAATCAAATTTCAAATTTAAAAAAATATATTTTCCTCTCTCTCACTCTCACTCTCAATTGAAAATTTCATTTGTTCTTTTGAGAAGCAACTGAGTTTTTACTTGCCACACTGTTCGTCGTAGAAACTGTTCGTGTGATATAAGATAAATTATCTGTCTAGTTTGTTAATTCAAACCATAGAGTCAAACAAGTATCAAAGAATGCCTAAAATAAGTTATAGCTGTGAGTCTAGGATCAACACATGGATTTCTTACAGCAAAAAAATTACTGCTTAGCAGTCAATACGCAAATAAATTCAAGATGTAGGTTATTCTTATATCAGTGTAAGAATAAGATGTTTTGTATTAAATCTTGATTTTTAATTTTTTTATATTTAGTGGTTCAAAATGTTAATAAATCAGAACTATTAGATATAAATAGAATTAACAATTAAAATTGAGAGTGTAATTTAAACTAGAAGTGATTGTGATCCTAAATTCAAATAGATTATTTAAAATTACTTGAGTTGGCAAAATTTCTTTTAGTTAGCTTTTGATTGAAGTTATTTTAAACGTAAAAATAAGTTTAACATACATGGTTTTATTGTCTATCGTTGGTCTCTATAATAGAATCACATGGGGCTGAGAGGCTATATATATGTTAAATTACCTTTGTGGCTGAGGTTAGCTTTAAAACTATTTTTATGTAAGAGTTAAAAATAAGAGCATAAAAAATAAAGTTAAAAATTATTTAGTGATTCTATAATTTTTTTAATGATAAAATTCAAATTTCCTAAAAAAATAATGAATATTTATTCATCAACACATATATATATATATATTATATATATATATATATATATATATATATATATATATACACATTAATATATCAATCTATAAATTATATTTAAAATATTTTTAATTATCAAATAACTATTCATACGAGTAAATAATTTTAGGAATTTTGTAATATATTAATATTTTATTTTTAGCAACATCCTGAATTTTACGGGTTAAAATTATAAATAAAAATTTAAAATTAGAATATACATGAAAAATGATATTTTTTCCGGAAAAGCTACGCCTCTTTTTAAAAAAGCCAGAACGAAGAAACTTGGAGCTCCTTTAGGCGTTTATTTTTTAATAAATCACATGTATTGTCTATGGGAGTTAATTTTTGTTTTAGGTGAATGCATAATTAAGATTTTAAATCTCTCCTAAAGATGATACTGAGGAGGATTGAACACATACTATTACCATCACTTACTCAATTCTCATGTACCAACAGAGCTACCATTATTTGATTTAGGGCGCTTCTCCTTAAAAGCTATTTTTTACTGTTTTCTTTTTTTCATTAACAAAAATTGTTATTCTTAAAAGAGCTTATGTTAAATAGTACTGTGTGACTTAACTTTCTACGGAAAAGAAAAGATTAATAAAATCTTGGCCAAATAGGTATTATCAGTTCTCAAAATAAAAAAAAAAATAATTACAATAGATGTTGAATCGATATTAATTTTGATGCACAGTAATTGTAATTTTTTTTTTCACCAACATTTAATCAGACTTTTGAGCTAAATGCTGCGAGAGCTAAACTTTTTTAATGACATGAATAATTCATTGTGCGATAGTATAAAAAATTTATTAGAATCATAAAAAATATCTTTTAATGTATTATTAAATATAGGCATTAACGCACTTAAAAATGGTTTGTTGAACATGATGATTACCGCATCGGTTTTCGTCCTTAACGTGAGTAACAACTCCAAGAGGTTGGTTAGGGTCTTTTTATTGATTTATATTATTTTTTAACACATCCCCTCACATAAAGGCTCTTTGGGCTTGAAGTGTGGATGCACAGACCCAATTTAACACACCTCCTCATACAAGGGCTCTATTGCATAGGCCTAATTTTTGGCTGTGCTTTTTTTTTTTATTTAATTCCACAAATGGGGTGGTAAGGATCGAACTCGTGACCTTATGGTCACTCAAGTTCTGATACCATGTAAAGAACCACTTCAACTCAAAATCTTAAGATGTTAGGTGAGAATCTTTTTAATGATTTATATTATTCTCTAACAATATTCTCCGTTATGATAGGCTTTCTTCTGTCCACACAAGAAAATTCTTATTTTAGTGTATGGATTTTTGTATTAAAGAGTCATGTGTGCAACCAACAATAACCATAAAAATTAAGATCCAAAACGATTACAGGAAATAATGTTAAGGAGTAACAAAACCTTAGGCCAAGAGGCCCATATTCAAAGATAAGTCGGTAGAAGGCATTAGTTAAAGGATCTCTCGTTCTTACCGTTGCTGTAGACAGAAGAAGTTGCAACAAACCTATTAATATTAGGATACAGAATAGTATTCTATAATAATTTTTTTTTTCAGGATATGAAATTGTATCCTGGTGAAAATAAATGTTATTGCAAATTTTCTGATCTACAACTATTAAAGCCTTAGTTAAATGGGAAAAACACTCTCAAGAAACATGAGAACGAGAATTATATTTTTATGTCGTGATTTTTTGATTTACATGTAATTTTATTTTTTTAATAAATACGGATGAAAACAATTCTCACGTGCAAAAATCAAAAATCAAAGCCCTAGTTAAATATCTTCTATTACAACTCATGACTCTCGTTTTTAAATAATGAAAAAGCTAAATCATATATTTCCGGAACAAAATGACAATATATAAAGCTCAACTCCAAGCACCCATCATCCAACTCCAAAATATTCATCTTCTTTTCGTTGGTCCTTAATTTCCCAGCTTATTGGAGCATAATCATGAAGATTTTCATTCTCTTTAGCATCATCACACTCGCATGTGGTTTCCTTGTTTCAAATGCTAAATCTTTACCGTATGAAGCTATTTTCAACTTTGGCGACTCTATAAGTGATACCGGAAATGCTGCTTCTCTCCACAAATCTCCTCCTGGCGATGACAATGGCAAGAATCCTTATGGCTCAACCTACTTCAAACATCCAAGCGGACGCATGTCAGATGGGCGACTCATCATTGATTTCATTGGTATATATATATATATTTACCCTTATTTTCTTAATAATAGAGTACGAAACATTACAACTATACTTGCATTATAATTCAATATTAGTGATTGAAGAATTAATATTTAATACACTAACCTGTGGTCATTTTAATTCATAGCTAAGGCATATGGGTTGCCATTTTTGCCAGCCTATTTGAATCTCACCGAAGGCCAAAACTTCACGCAAGGAGTAAATTTTGCATATGTTGGTGCAACTGCACTTGATATGGAATATTTCATACGAAAAGGAATCAATTCAGTGACGCCAGATGAAAAATCGTTGAGCGTTCAACTTGATTGGTTTAAGAAGCTCAAACCCTCTTTCTGTAAAACCAAAGAAGGTTGGTTATAACAAAACTCCTTTAATAATATTTCTATCCAATCCAATACATGAAATTTTCTCAACATGACTTAAATCACTTTTTATATATTCCATTCTATGACACACACAGAGTGTGATAACTGCTTCAAGAGATCATTGTTTCTGGTTGGAGAGATTGGTGGGAATGATGTTATCGCGCATATGGTGGCAAATAAAAACATTCCACAACTCCGAGAAATAGTTCCCCTGATTGTTGAAGCAATTACCAATACCACCACTGTATGTTTATATCAAATTTAAGTAGCTTCAATTTTAATAGTTCATTTACCATTTAATTTGAAATATGATTGATTATATCACGGTGGTGAATATCTGTATCGTTTTTTGTTTTTTCAACATTTGGTAGGCATTAATAGAAGAAGGAGCTGTAGAGCTAGTGGTACCAGGGAACTTCCCCATTGGGTGCAATTCTGCAGTTTTGACGGTGAAGAAGAGTGATAACAAGGACGACCATGACGAATTTGGGTGCTTGAAATCTTACAATACCTTGGCTCAGTACTATAATGAGCAGCTCAAACAGGCCATAGAGACACTAAGGAAGAAAAATCCTCAAGCAAAGATAATATATTTCGACTACTTCAATGATGCCAAACGTTTATTTCAAGCACCACATCAATATGGTGCGTTGTGTTGGAATTTAAATGTAGGAATTTCAATACCTCTGGTGTTGGAAATAGAAAGAAAAAAAAAAAAAAAAAAAAAACAGAATAACAAAAAATGAAATTTTTTAATAGAAGATTCACTAAGTACAGTACAAAACTATTTTTCTCAAAACAAACTCTCTACTTGAGTACTTGAGTATTCTTTATTTTCTCTCACAGTATTGCTAATTCTTTTTTCTTCTCACAAGTGCTACGACACCTTTTAAGACACACATGCTTTTCTTCTGTTTCATTCCATTCATATTACACCTGCCCATAACCTCTATATATAGACATAACTACTGACAATATAACACCTAATAACCTTATCACATGACATTTACTAACATGACAGCTAGCTATGCTACGTGACTGTGTGCACATGTGTTACACATCACAATTTTTCTTTCTCGAGTCCTGTAGATTCTTGTAGTTTGGCAGTGGAGCAAAGATGAGCTAGAAAAGTCTAAATTTGATTTCTAACACTCCTCTCAAATTTAACTTTGGAACACATTTATCCCGTGGTTTCGGGAATGGTGGAAGGTGAACAATCTTTATCGATACTTGTGACATCTCTGGTACATAAATGATTTTTGCCAATTTCAACCAAGTGATCCTAAGTTTTTCACTTCGCTCACTCTCCATATCCTTTTCTTTCCCACGCTTTTCTGGCATATCAATGAGAGATTGTTTTTCTTTTACTAGAACGATTTTTCCTTTGATTCTCTTCTTTGTTGATACATCCCTTGACTTGTTGCTGCTGCTCCTTAACTTCATTTCCCGAGTTTCAATTTCTTTCTCGTTTGCTACATCTTTGTTCTCTATTACCATTTTTGTTTACTGCTATATGAAATTTTTTTGTGGTTCCATCTTCGATTATGAAAGTGTCATGAGTATTGCTTCATTTTCCTCTTCTTTTTCTTTTATCAAAGAATATTTATTTATCCCCTCAACAACAGCTTTTGTATTTTCTTCCATATCATCAATATTATCATCAGCTTCAGTTTCTTGTTGTTCTTCTTCTTCCTCTTTCCCCTGATTTCTCTGAATCCAATTCATTTTGGATATCGAGTTCTGATTCCTCTGAATCCAATTCATTTTGGATATCGAGTTCTGATTTTAGGGTGATTGATTATGTGTCACCATCAATATCAGGTAGATATTTTGCTTTAAAAGCCTTCTCAAAGTCATTCCAACTTGCAACAAACCATATTCCTCTTTGATTGAAACAAACTTGAGACCAACTAAACGTGCTTCCTCTTAGTCTGCTCTAAGCTTCCCACAACTTTGCATCTTCATCGATTTTTTCTGCCTGAAAATATTCTTTCAAACGAATTAACCATCTCGAAGTTTCATCATCTCCTTCATTTCCATAAAATTTTCGAATCTCCATTTTTTTTTTCTCGAACAGATACACAACTCCTAGGTCAAGGCTCTGAAACTCTTCTTTTCCCTTCACAGTGCTTCAACACTTCTCTTCACCATAGCCCCCAGATCGAGGATTTTGATACCAATTTTTGGAATTTTAGTTCCTCTGATATCACTTTTTGGAAATAGAAAAAAAATAAAAAAATTTAAAAGAAGATTCACTAATATACAACACTATTTTTGTCAGAACAAACTCTCTACTTGAGTACTTCAATACTCTTTTTCTCTCACAGTTTTGCTAATTCTTTTTTCTTCTCACAAGTGCTATGGCATCTTTTAAGACACATGCTTTTCTTCTATTTCATTCCATTCACACTACACCTACCCAAAACCTCTATATATATAGACATAACTACCGACAATATAACACCTAATAACCTTATCACATGACACTTACTAGTTACTAACATGACAGCTAGCTATGCTACATGGCTGTGTGCACATGTGTTACACATCACAATTTTTCTTTCTCAAGTCTTGTAGTTTGGCATAGTGGACCAAAGATGAGGTTGAAAAGTCTAAATTTGATTTTTAACATTAAATATGTACATCATTTTATGTACACTAATTATATATGCAGGCTTTTCTGCTGATAAGAATGAGACTTTCAAAGCATGTTGTGGAGCAGGTGGACCTTTCAATTTCCTTCCAAACATAAATTGTGGAGAGCCTCGCTCAACCGTTTGCTCTGAACCTTCGAATCGTATAAACTGGGATGGACTCCACTATACCGAAGCTGCTTATAGGCAAATAGCAAAGGGACTACTTGAGGGACCTTTTGCATATCCTCCTCTTAAATCCCCTCCTTTTAAGATTGCTTAGATCGAATTGACACAAACACGGAGAAAATCTTTCTTTTGGATAAATCCAGAATAAGTTTTGGCTTCATCTATTTGGTCTACTCACGATAAATTTACTCTTATCCTGTAGGTTGAAGTTGAACCCAACAGCATGTGTAAACTTATTTTTTTTGCCATTGTATTCTATTGAAAACTGTTAAGAATTTGATTTACCTTCATGCAAAGATGGTTCTTGGTGTAATTTAACGTTTATTCAATTTTTTATTTATTAATAATGCTTATTTCGATTAAGTTTAATATAAGATAAATACATAAAGAAATCGATTAAACTCTTTCGAACTAATTCTATAGGAGCTAATAAATTTAACAAAGAAGTAATCCACAGCAATATTATAAAACAAAATTGTGACTAATAATAAATTGGGACATGATCCATTTATAAATTTTTTTGAATTTTTTTACAATTTACACTGTATTTTCCCGGGAGAACATAGTGTAGTTTATAAAAGTTTGTATTCTCCCGGGAGAATATAGTGTAATTTGTAAACAAAAAAGTTTGTAAATATAACCTGCCTCTAATAAATTTATATCGGATAATATAGTACATGACGTTCCTGTAACGATAAACTCCTTGCCAATTACATTGCATATGAAGTGTTGGTTAAATTTTAGGTCACCTGCTGCGGGCTAAAACTTATTTGAAAATGAGTGCTTTTAGTTTTAATGGCTAGCTTCCGCACTTTGTTGGCTTAAAAAGTATCGTAACTTAGTTAATCACATGACAATCTCTGCTGGGGGATACTGTCACAATTTATATGCATTTAATTGCATTTGGCTAATCTAGTTAAAAAATAACCTCGTAACTCCAAAGGCGATGCTATAGGCTTGAACTCATATAAGCAATGTAAAATACAGCAAAGAGTCAAAAGATGATACATACATACAATAATTATGATATATATACAATTAGGAAAACATGTTTATCATATTTCTAATACAAACAAACAAAAAATGAATTTTGTGTGTTCCATGAGATAAAATTGTCATATATATAAATTCAACTCAAAAATTTAAGTTTCTAAGTGGAACTTGTAAAACTAGTTGTGTCTCATGTGTAACGTGTGTCAATTGGTTTAATTAATAATAAAAGAGGCTTTATGGTAATTGACGTTTCACATTAATGATAATTGATGTTTTAACGTTTTGCATTATGGTAACGTCTCGCATTAATGGTAATTGACGTTTTGACGTTTCGCATTAAGGGAAGTTAATTAGAAATAACTGTGATAGGCCAGTTATATAATAGTTTATATGGTTAGTTTTTATATAAGGGTATCTGATAGAAAACAAACGTCCTTCTGAGTATAAGTTTAGTCTCATACAATGTCCTAAAAGTGAATTGGAACGAAAAGAAATGGAAGCAATTTCGTATGCATCATTAGTTGGGAGTTTAATGTATGCTCAGACTTGTACGAGACCAGATATTAGCTTTGCAGTTGGGATGTTGGGTAGATACCAAAATCCCGGTATGGATCATTGGAAAGCTGCAAAGAAAGTTCTGAGATATTTGCAAGGAACAAAAGGATTCACATGTAAGTAATTTAATCAGTAATTCATGATCCTATGTCATGTTCTTGACTGATTACTATTGAACATGAATCATGAATCATGAATTACTGATTAAATTACTTACATGTGGTATCAGAGCGTGTGTTTAAGAATTTGTGTTTTTTCATAACAATTATGAATGAATTCTTAATTCATGAAAAGTTAGGTTTTGAAAGTTCATGATCATCGTTGAATATAAAATTACTGTCAAATCGATATTTCTCGTTGAATTATTGGATGAAACTTGCATTAATTTTGAATTAAAGTTCATCTGCATTTTCGATGTTGTGTCCAATATAAAGGATTTGAATTACTAACCATGAATCATGAAAAGCAATTAATTGTCTCGGTTTTTGTGTTAATGGATAAAGCATTTGAAATTTACAACCAATATGAATTTGGTCGCTGGAAGAAAAATCGAGAATGGTATTTCTTCATTTATCATCAACATTGAGATATATTTCTTGTCTCGATTTTTGTGTCCATGTAATGGAATAACATTTGTAATATACGAAGTTTTATATAAAGATTGCTGTTACATATTGGTTTGAAGAAATATATGACTTTTCGGTAATCGTGCATCATTGTTGGATTACTTGATATTTTTGAATCAATTAATCGTGAATCTTGAAGAGTTATTTTAAATTTCAAATATTATGAATTTTATTTCAATTACCATGACTGTGATGCTGTGAATAGTATGATATAATTATTCATGTTGTGGTATATTGAAGTTCATTATTATAGAACAGTTAGGGATTAACCCAAAGGTTGATTATTTGTTTTATAAAATGAACATGGATGTTGGTATTGTTGGCATATTTCTCACATTTGGACATCCAAAGATGACAAATAATTATGATAAGGGTATGCATCATTGCCAAATTATGTGAAATTTATATAGCATCATTATAGTTAATGTTGTATGTTAATGGATCCCCAAAGGTGAACATTGATATGCATTGAAGTTAATATAGTTGAATCTGTGAAGTATGTTAGTATGTGACATGTATGACTCAAAGCATTAATGTTTAAATATCATTCCTCGCAGTACCGGTGGCTACACATTCCATGTTCTCAACTGTTACAGTTTTTAATGTGCTGAACTTCTCTGAATGGAAAGAGCAAATCCAATTTTACCTTGGGGTAATGGATATGGATATGGCTCTTAGAGAAGAGGAACCTGGTGCTATTACTCCTGAAAGCACTGAGGATGAAAGGAACCATTTTAAGAACTGAGAAAGGTCCAACAGATTAAGTTTGATGTACATGAAAATGAGCATAGCAAGCAACATTAAGTCAGCTCTTCCACAAACCGAAAGTGCTATCGAAATGATGAAACTTGTGGAAGAGCGCTCTCAAACCGCTGATAAGTCTCTTGCTGGGACACTTATGAGTACATTGACCACCATGAAGTTTGATGGTTCGCGTACTATGCATGAGCATGTTATTGAAATGACAAGCATTGCGGCAAAATTAAAAGCATTGGGAATGGCTGTGGATGAGAACTTCCTGGTGCAGTTCGTATTGAACTCATTACCGTCTGAGTATGGTCCTTTCCAAATGAACTATAACACCATGAAAGATAAATGGAATGTGCATGAATTGCACAGTATGTTAGTTCAGGAGGAAACCAGACTTAAGAATCAGGGAGCTCATTCTATCAATTATGTAAAGCATTAAGAAGCTGAAAAGTATAAAGGTAAGAAGCATGAGAAGAAAGGAGGAGGAGGAGGACCCCTTAAAGTGAATGAGACCTCTTCTTCTAAAATCCACAAAAAGGAAAGTAATGCAAATATGAGGTGCCATTTCTGTAAAAAGGAAGGGCATTTCAAAAAGGATTGCTTGAAACATAAGGCTTGGTTCGAAAAGAAAGGTAGGCCTAGTGCTTATGTATGTTATAAATCAAACCTGGCTGAAGTTCCTTATAATACTTGGTGGATTGATTCTGGTTGTACTACTCATGTTTCTAATACAATGCAGGGATTTCTTATGACCCAAACCACAAAGCCAAATGAAAAGTTTGTCCTTATGGGCAATAGAGTTAAAGTTCCGGTGGAAGCTGTTGGGACTTACCGTTTAATTCTCGATAGTGGATTTCATTTGGATTTATGTGAAACTCTTTATGTACCTAGTATATCTAGGAATTTAGTTTCAATTTCCAAACTTGATGTTGCTGGATACTCTTTTAAATTTGGTAGTGGTAGTTTCAGTTTGTACAAGCACAATCATTTGATTGGTAATGATACTTTTTGTGATGGATTATATAAATTATGTCTTGATAATCTTTATGCTGAAACACTTATGACTCGACATCATAATGTTGGTACTAAACATACCTTAATTAATGAGTGTTCCGCTTACTTGTGGCACAAACGTTTGGGACATATTTCCAAAGAAAGGATGAAAAGATTGGTAAATAATGAAATCCTTCCGGATTTAGACTTTACTAATTTAAATGTTTGTGTGGATTATATTAAAGGAAAACAAACAAAACACACAAAGAAAGGAGCCACAAGGAGCACTCAGCTTCTTGAAATTATACACACAGATGTATGTGGTCCGTTTGATGTTAATGCCTTCAATAAAGAAAAATAATTTATCACTTTCATTGATGATTATTCACGTTATGGTTATCTCTATTTGCTGCATGATAAGTCTCAAGCAGCAAATGCTTTGGAGATTAATATTAATGAAGTTGAAAGGCAATTAGACAGAAAGGTGAAGATTGTCAGGTCTGATAGGGGTGGTGAATATTATGGAAGGTATAATGAAAGTGGACAACATCCGGGCCCATTTGCTAAATTTCTGGAAAAACGTGGTATTTATGCTCAATACACAATGCCCGGTACACCGCAACAGAATGGTGTATTAGAAAGGCGTAATAGGACCTTACTGGATATGGTTAGGAGTATGTTAAGTAATTCTTCTTTACCTGTTTCATTGTGGACTTATGCTCTAAAAACTGCCATGTACGTATTGAATAGGGTTCCTAGTAAGTCAGTTCGAAAGACTCCTTTTGAACTTTGGACTGGAAGGAAACCTAGTATAAGACACCTACATGTTTGGGGTTGTCAGGCAGAGATTAGATACTACAATCCGCAAGAAAAGAAACTGGATGCAAGGACAATCAGTGGTTATTTCATTGGTTATCCAGAAAAATCGAAATGGTATAGATTTTACTGTCCTTATCATACTACAAGGATTATTGAATCTGGAAATGCAAGGTTCATTGAGAATGGTGAAGTTAGTGGGAGTGAAACACCACGTAAAGTGGATATTCATGAAGTGAGAGTACAAGTTCCATTACCTTGTAGCTCTAGTAAAGTTATTGTTCCTTATGATATTGAACCAATCAATAATAATGAAGGACAAGTTAATAATCACACTATTCATGAAGAAATCATTGTTGAT